CCCCCCCGTCACCTCGGCCCACGAAGTGGTCCTGGTAGTAGCGGGCGCCCAGGTCCACGTGCTCGATGCTGTACTGCCGCGGGCGGCTCTGCGTCCTCTGCTGCTCCTTGGGCACCTCCAGCACCGAGATGCTGGCGTTGGTGCGGTGCGCGCTGAGGGCGGGCTCGGCCGGGCGGCCCTCGCCGCCGCCGCCGCCGCCCGGGGAGCCCACGGCCGCCCGCGAGAAGCTCACGTTGCGCTCGCACTCGCCGCCGATCTCGTTGCGGAAGTGCGGGCAGCTGAGCAGCAGGTCGTTGCTGTTGTCGTCGCCCAGGTCCTGCTCCAGGTTCTCCTTGCAGTTCAGGTCCTCCGTGCTGGGGAAGGCGGCGTCCAGGCCGCCCAGGCCGTGGGCCCGCGACGCCGAGAGGGCGGCCGTGGCGGAGGCGGCCGAGGCGCCCGTGGTGGTGTTGCGCCGCTGCGCCGTGGCCACCCTGTTGGCGGCCGCCTCGTTGAGGTCGAACAGCATGCTCTGCACGTCAAAGTGGGCGAAGCTCTTCTGGCAGACCCACGGGCGGCCGGCCTCCGGGGGGCTCCGGCCCTCCTCGGCCTCCCCCAGGGCCCGGCCGGCCTCGCCGTCCGTCTTCCCGCTCCTCAGCTTCCGGAAGATGGACGAGTCGGCCGCGTCCCCGCCGCCCAGGCCGCGCGCGGGCTTCTTGCGGGCCTTCTCTTTCTCCTTGGCGGGCTGGAGCACCAGGAGGCTGTCCTTGGCGGGCTGCCCGTTGCGGGGGTCCCCCTTGGCTCCGCCGCCGCCCCCCGGGACGTGGGGCCCCGGATCCGCCTGGAGCAGCTCACTGAGGGGCTGGGGGCCCGCGGCCTCCGGCTGTTCGCTGCGGAACTCGTTGAGAATGTCGAAGAAGCTCTGCTCCGGCACGCCCTGCACATCGATGGAGGACGTGCTGCCGTACTCGCGGAAGAGGGGCAGGGCCCCTGTGTGCCGGGGTCCCCGCGGCTCCCCAGCGTCCTCCGCGTCACACTCGCTGAGGGTGATCTCGCTGCTGCTGCGGTGCCGCAGGGGGAGGAAGGCCCTGCCGGGGGACCGGGGCCACCCGTCCTGGAATTCCACATCTTTGGACCTTCTCCTGGAGAGTCTGTGGAAGGCTTTGGGCACTGAGGAAGCCGGGGTGCTGACAGGAGGCTGTCCGTTCTGTACGCTCCTCATGGAATGGGCCACCTTTGTGGCCTTCGTGCCGTCTGCGTCCTGTGAGGGGCTTGGGTTGTTCTGCTCTCTCAGGGCGTCCCGCTTGGGCGGCCAGTCGGCCACTCTTGCGCGCACACCCATCTTGGGCACTGCAGGGGTGGTGGGACTGGGGCGGGTGGTGGCGCTGACTGGGCTCTCACCAATGGGCTGCGGCATGCCCCCGTTCTGGACCCAGAATCCCATGGGAGCATAGTCCCCTGTGTGTGGCCCGGGGAGGACATCGGCCCCCCTGGCCCCACAACTGGCTGCCAGATCCACACCATCACTGGGAATGGGCCGATAGGTGGTCATAGTCCACGGGCACTGGAGTGCTACTGGCTCCTGTGAGCTGCCGAGTAACTTTATGGGGTCCCCTGGCCCTCAGCCATTGTTCAGGGCCGCCAGTCCCAGGATGAAGGATGCTGGCCCTTGAAGCCTGACCGGAAGGTTGTGAGCCTGTGGAGTCCAGTTCTCCACCATCGCTGTGGACAACCGAGCCAGGACAACCTCAGGAGGCAGGTGCTGTCCTAGGGTCTCCAGACTGGGCGGCTCAGCAGGACAGAGCAAGCAGTAGATGTGGGTGAGGGCCAGCAGGCTGCTGGGCTGTCTTCCCTGCCATGCTGAAAAAGGAGAGAAGGCAAAGGTGAGATGTGATGTTACTGTTCCCAGAGAAACTTTTTGTGTGACAGCTTTATACTCATTTAAAAAATTTTTTATTAGAGAAAATTTCAAACATACCCAAAGCAGGGGTGCCTGAGTGGCTCAGTCAGTTAAGAGTCCGTCTCCTGATTTTGACTCAGGTCAAGATCTCACAGCTTGTGAGTTTGAGCCCCACACTGGGCTCTGTACTGACAGTGCAGAGTCTGCTTGAGATTCTCTGTCTGCTCCTCCCCAACTTGTGCACACACACTCTCTCTCAAAATAAATAAACTTAAACAAAATATTTTAAAAAACATACCCAAAGCAGAATAGTGTATTTATTGAGCACCCGACAAGCTTTAACAACCATTACCTAATCGCCATTTCCGTTTCATCTACCCGCCCACTCCTACACTTTTTTTTTTTTTTTGACAGAATATTTTAGAGTATGTCCCAGGTATCAGCTCATTTCACCTATAAATACTTAAGCTTATATTATCTAGCAGTCAAGGCCTTTATTTTATTTTTTTTAATGTTTATTTAGTTTGAGAGAGAGAGAGAGAGAGAGAGAGAGAGCGAGCGCACACACACACTTGCTTGCAAGCCAGGGAGGGGCAAAGAGAGAGGGAGAGAGAATCCCAAGCAGGCTCCACTCTGTCAGTGCAGAGCCCAACGTGGGGCTTGATCTCACCATGACATCATGACCTGAGCCAAAATCAAGAACTAGATGCTTAACCAACTGAGCCACTCCTAGTAGTTAAGCCTTTAAAAAATTAACCAAAAATACTCTCATCACACCCATCTAGATTAACAAGAATTCTTCAATATCATGTAATACCTCATATCTGTATTACATTTTCCCCAGTGTCTCAAAGGTTTCTTTTAGAGTTGGTTTGCTCAAATCAGGATTCAAACACGATCCCTACTCTAATTTGGCAGATAATATTTCTTAAGTCTCTTCTATTCTTTACGGTCCCCCCCCCCCCATCACCTTTATTTTGATGCTATTTACTTATGGAAGGAATGAGGTCATGCAACCCGTGGAGTTCCCCACTTTCAGAATCTGGCTGGCTGACTTGTCCATTGTGGTGTCATTAAACACATTCCTCCACCCCCTGTGAGTACTGCAGGTAAAGGCTGGACTATTGTCTATCTGTCCTGCAATCTGCCTGACCAGCCACCCCACCAAAAAAGGAAGTAAAAATGACAGATGAGTCACCATGAGCACTGGTAGGTTTGGGACAGGGGATGGCTCTGGAACTCTATGTGATTAATAGATACCATGAACATCAGCTCCTGTCGCTTCTTGGCTGAGATCTCCCCAGTGGCTCCTTACTGAATTAGAATAAAATCTAAATTCATCTGCTCGCCCACAAGCCCCTCAGGCTCTGGTCCCTGCCAGTCTCCTGATGCTTCTCCCCATCCCTGACTTAGATCCCATCACACTGGCCTTCTTTTCTGTCCTATTGACATATCGAACCCCACCCAGGATATCTGGATATCCTTCCTTGGTTCTTAACCAGGCTGGCTCCCTTGTATGATGTCAACTCTCCAATGAAGCCTTCCTTATGAAGGGAAGCCTACCAAAGACTAACAGTGCTTTCCGAGGAAGAAGGCTGTGTACGTGTGTGCGTGCGTGTGTGTAGGGGGCATTTCCTAACCCATGTCCTTAGGTATGGAGTGAGCTGGCAGAGAGAGACCCAGGGGGATGCATGAAGCAGATTATTCATGGAGCAAAACAGGGAGGCAAGCCTGTAGCACCTGAGAAAGTGAGAACCAGAAGGGGGTGGGGGAGGAGTCGGGAGCAAGAGTTTACCCGTCTTCCTAGCTCCCAAGAGAGCATTCCTGAAGATGTAGCAGGGAGGCACACAGGGGAGGGGGCAGAGAAGGGGGAAGGAAGTGGAAAGCGCCCAGAGTCGGGTTGGTTAGGGGAGACAGGAGCAAGGCCAGGTGAGCCTGGGTGAGCTGGAGAGCAGAGATGTCTTCTAAAGAAGCAGGTGGGCCTCAGCTCTGGGGACCAAGCTTTGCAGGAATGTGGATGCCAGATCACTGGATTTTTAATTTTTTTTTAATGTTTACTTATTTTTGAGTGGGGGGGGGGAGGGAGGGAGGGTAAGAGAAAAGTGAAGGAGACACAGAATCTGAAACAGGCTCTAGGCTCCGAGCTGTCAGCACAGAGCCCAATGCGACATCAGGCTTGAACTTGGGAATGGCGAGATCATGACCTGAGCCAAAGTTGGATGCTTAGCTGACTGAGCCACCCAGGATCTTTAAATCCAGAAACTAGAAATCTTGAATTATATGCAACTTCTCCCAGTTTGAAAACAAAAATAACAGCAGCAACAAGAACGAACTACCATGCAGAGAAGATCTCTAAGAGGATGTTCAAGAAACTGCTAACATTGGTTGCCTCTGGGAAGGGGAATTAGACCTCTTTTCCCCCACTCCAAGCCCCCTCTCTGGGTTGGCCAGGGGCACTTTTTTTTTTTTTTTTTAAAGATTATTTATCTTGAGAGAGAGTGCCCGAAAGCAGGGGAAGGGCAGAGAGAGAGAGAGAGAGAGAGAGAGACAGAGAGAGAGAATCCCAAGCAGACTCTGCACTGTCAGTGTAGAACCCAATGTGGGGCTTGAACTCCTGAACTACGAGATCATGACCTGAGCTGACATCAAGAGCCAGATGCTTAACCTACTGACCCAGGTGCCCCTGGCCAGGGGCACTTCTTATGCTTGGCAGTGCAGTCTCACCTCTGGGTCAGCCTGGGAAAGCCTGGCAGATTAGCCCTTTGAGGCCACATTTGGGTTGGCTGGGAAAACCAGTGGCCCAGACGTGACCCAGACCTGCTTATGCAAGCACCTCCCGACAGATGGGCTTTGCTGATGGCATTTTGTTTCCAGCTCAGTCAGAAACCCCCAATCTGTTTTGCTCCCTCCTGTGAAAACACACAGATGTTCCTGAGGCCCTGGTGTCTTTCCACAGATTCCCTTCCTGGAGCAGGTGTAGCCAAGTCTCCTGGAGATGCTCGGAAGGCTGAGTGATACCCACAGCCTCTCTGGGATTCAGGGACTGGTGCACAATGGTCCCTTTCCAGCTGCCTGCTGTCAGGCTCCCCCCTCCTAAAAGCATGCCCATCTTTCTGGTGGGGAACCCCCCCATAATGAAGGCCAGACTGCCTGGGTTCGGGTCCTGGTATGCCATGGACTGGTTACTGAAACTGTGATTCAATTTCAATCTGGAGAGAGCGGGGAGAATACCACCTATCTCATGGCCACTACTATTACTATGGTTCCTCCCTTCATGTATCTTCTCCCCTCTCCCCACGCCCCCAATTACTGAAGCACAGCCAGGGGCAGGCTCAGCGGCTGAGTGTTCTCTTCTGCACCTGTCTGTACAAATTTCTTCTCTCCAGTATTCCTTGGTTCCTGCCTGTTTTCTATGCCTGCTCCTCTTGGCCTCCTGGTGGTCTGTAAGCCCCTGATAAATTCTGCTTCTGCCCAAGACTGTCAAACGTGGCTTCTGCTGCTGGCATAGGAGGACCTTGACTAATACCCACTGCTGTGTACAAGGAAGGCAGCTGGGGACGGTGGATGGGGAAAAATGGGAGACGGCAGCATGACGAGAAGCAAGTGGCAGTGGGAGAGTCAGGTGGGGATGCATTTGGCTGCAAGTAACAGGATACCATCCAATGGTGGCTCGGGCAATGAAGGTATTTCATTATCTTATGTAACAAGCAGACCAGGTATGGCGGCTCCACTCTTGGTACGCTGCAATGACATTAGGCACTTTTTTCCCCTCTGTCCCATCATCCCCTGCTCCCCTCAGCGTGCTGCCGGCTTGCATCTTTGGCTTTCGACCTCAGAGTGGCAAGCTGGCAGCCACAGCCCCCCTTCTCACCGAACCATGGGCAAGGGGGAAAGCAAGGGATGAGATGAGACTGTTCTTACTTCTCACCCATCTGACCCTCATCAGGAAGGAGAATGTTTGCCAGAACATCCCCCCTACCTCAACAGACTTTCTTTTATGTCTAATTGGCCAGAATGTGGTCACATATGGCCATTCTAGGAGCAAGGAAAGCTGGGAAAGCAAAGAATCCGGGATCATTCTGATTGCCCGTGAGCCAATGAGGACTTACGTCTGGGGCTGGCCACACTGGCTCCCTAAAAATGTCATGGTCCGTTAGAAGAGCAGGCACCTAATAGTGTGCCTGTGTAAATGCTCCCAGACTGTCATGTGTGAAGAAGCTGGGGAAGTCTGAGCTGGGAGGGTGCTCCCTTATCAGGCCCCCAAAACTTGGATGCTGAAACAGCAGACAAGTGGCCTCAATGTTCTGGCTCTGAAGGGCCTTGCTCTTCTGTGAAGGAGTCACGATGTCTGCAGAACCTCCCAGGGCAGAGCAGGAGGGAAAAACACAAGCTTTCCAGTGGCAGATACTTGTGGTTTGCTTCCTCTGCTGTTTTCCAAAAACAGCCCAGATTTCCCTTGGGGAACCTGCGTTCTCTGACTCCCACCCAGTGGGCTAGAGGAGGAGATCCTTCTTGACCATGTAACCTGATCAAAACCAGTGAGACCCAGTGACATGGGTGCCAAGAGTCCTAGGGCTGAAGGCTGTGCTTTACCCTCTTACCCGGAGTTAGAGAGAGGATATGAGGGACGGAATCACTGCAGCTATCTTGTGACCATGAGGGAAGAAGGAAGAACCGTTTGTGAAAGGGGTTGAAAGTTAGGGGGTGGATGTGGGAGCTGTAGTCATCATTTTCGTCTGAGTCAAGCTGGACCCAAAGCTACCACAATTGTACTTCCGACCACTGGATGTTTTAGTTACATAACCAAACAACATCTATAACAGCAGCTACCATGAATGTGATCCTTCTAGAGTCCAGGTCCTTCTCTAAGCACTATACATTTGTTATCTCTCTTAATTCCACAACTCTATGAAGTAGATATTATCTCTGTCTTAACATAAGGAAGCTGAAGTGAACAGATCAAGTAATGTGCCCAAGACCAGGTGGCCACAAGGTGGCAGAGTTGGGACTGATCCAGCAGCTTCGTTCCTCAAGTCAGGCAGTCCTGAGTTCAAGCACGAGCCCTGCAGGTTGCCCCGTGGGCAAAGTCCTGGACCTCTAATTCTCCTTCTCACTGGTGACACAGGGCAAAATAACTCCAGATCCAACTGCTCCTCTGAGTTCCAGACTTGGGTAGCCACTGCTTACTTGACATCACCACATATATATTTCACATGCACTGCAAACTGCAAACTGCACATTCCCAACCTGAACCCTTGATCTCTCCCCATCCACAAAGCCCGTTCCTTCTCAGAATAGTCAGGGGGGGTTAAGTTATGGCGTAGGAACAGAGAACCTCATGTACTAGGGGCTTACCCAACAGAGGTTTGTTTCTTGTTCATACTGCATGTCTACCAGGGGCGGGCCAAGGGCCTTCTCATGTCAGCTCTACTCCCAGGTGACAGAGCAGCACTTACATGAGACCTGGCCAATTTCACGGGTAAGGGACATGGCTGAACTATGCGACAGTTCCTGCTCAGGAATGACACATATTACTGCTCTCACATCTCACTGGCCAAATCAAGTCATACATCGAAGACTGGTGTTGACAGAGTGGTATGCCACAATATCTGTCAGAATAGGAATAGCAGAAGCTACCGGCTTCTTCCACATCTCAGGGAAAGGCACTTTCTTCCATCGAAGGACTCCAGCTGGAAACTCCCTTCACATATCCAATCCATTACCCCACAGCCTGCTGACTCTCCCATGGGAGCTCTCCCATGCCAGTCTGAGCTGGGTGACTATATACCATAGCCTCCCCATTACCTGTCCTTCTGCTCCTAGTCCCGTAAGTGCCCTTTGCCATGCAGCAGGCAGAGCAATCTCAGGATTCATATTCACATTTGAATCTTAGTATAAATTCAAATCTTAGAATAAAATTCAAAATCCTCACCTCAGCCCTCAAGGTTCCTTTCATCTTCTCCTTGCTTTGGGGGTCCCAGCCACAATGTCCTTCTTTCAGTTCCACATGCCTATGGCTTATCTGCCCTGTTGCCTCAGGGCCTTTGTACATGACATCCATGTTGCCCTTTCCCTTACCTAGATAGTTCTTTCTCAAGATTCAGGACAAATATCACTTTCTCCACATGACTTTTCCTCCTCATGAACCTTGTTCAATCCCCAACCTGAGTACTCAGAGCACCCTTTTTTTTTTTTTTTTTTTAAATGTTTATTTTTGAGAGAGACAGAGGGTGAGCAGTGGAGGGGCAGAGAGAGACAGGGAGACACAGAATCAGAAGCAGGCTCCAGGCTTCGAGCTGTCAGCACAGAGTCTGATGCGGGGCTCAAACCCACAAACTGCGAGATCATGACCTGAGCTGAAGTCGGATGCTTAACCGACTGAGCCACCCAGGTGCCCTGTGCTCAGAGCACTCTTACAGAGCATTTCTCTTTGGGGTTACCTGCCTCAGTGTATGTACATCATTTACCATGTAATTAACTGGCCGCCATACGTAAGGTTTGTGAGGCACTGAAATGTGAGAATCTTTATTATTGCATGCCTCTCCAGCACAGGCCTGACATACAGTAGGTCATTAACAAATACCTGCTAAATAAATGAGTGGATGGATGACAACCTCAGACCAGGAGGAGCGCTAGCTCAGTGAGGGTCTGTGACCTGAGGGTAGGTGGTGCTTGCTTGGTGACCTAGCGTGTCTGCCCCTGAGAAGAAGCGTGTTCAGGAAGCTGAAAGTAATGTGTGGAGTGTGTGTACGTGCAAGTGTGTGTGTGTGTGTGTGTGTGTGTGTGTGTGTGTGTGTGTACACTGCCCTCGCACAGGCCTTTGGATGGGGGAGCAGGTAGGTGTCCAAGGTCTCCTTCCTAAGCAGACCTCTGCGTCCAAGGGTGCCCCCATCTGCTCCAGGGATTACCTCTTCAAGGAAATGTGATCCAGTCACTGCAATGGGGACTTAGTGAGACCTAAGAGCTCTGGACACTTCAGGGTTGTGGCACCAAGTCTGAGGGCTACTCTCAGAGGCTCAGGGGGAATGATGACCCCACTGCATGCACCTGGCAATTCAGCAGTTTCTGGGCAGGTACAAGTCGTTCATTCGTCCAGTAAGAACTAGTCCTTACAGCTTATTCATTCATACGACCAACACCTATCACATTCTTCCAAATCATTTAGCCCAAAAAGTTCACTGAGTCAAAAGAGAAAAAGCACTAAAAACTTATTCTTTTATTGAACACTGACCAGGCATGTATAACTCATTCATTCATTTCACAAACACCAAGCACCAAAGATGCATTCATTTATTCACCAGACTTCTCAAACACCTACTATGTGCTATTGTAGGTGCTGAAGAAAATACAGCCCTGAGCAGGACCACACCTCCCCCTCATGGACTTATTCCCAGGAAAGGGAAGCCAGAGAAGTAAGTAAACCAAGAGAGAAAACAAGGTAACTTCAAAGGGTGGTCAGCAGTTTAAAGGAACACAACGTTGTGACAGGGTGGGGCTGGGGGCTGCTCCCCATGGGAGGGCTCATTGTGGGGTGCCACGTGATAGGAAGAGAGGACGCCTGCCGTGCACCAGGCATGCCGATGGATGAGGCTGACACGCACGGGCAGGAAAGCTGGGAGTGGCCAGCGTACGAGGCCCCGTGGGCTTGTCCAAGGCGGGAGTGCTCATCCCCACTGTCCATTAGAGGCACCAGGGAAGCTTTGTAAAAGTATAGGTGTTCACACTTCACCCCCAGAGAGTCTGAATCAGCTGCTCTGGGGTGGGGACCAGGCCTGAGAGAGAGCCTTTTAAAAGCTCTGCAGCTGACTCTAATATGCAGCCAGGGCTGAGGACAGGGGAAGGAAGAGAGCAAAGAAATGAGGGCCTGACACCAAGCCCTGATCTGCTGCAAATGCAGGGGGCAAGCAGGGGAGCAGGTGTCCCGCAGGCCCCAACAGTGGGGGTGGTTTGGGGAGGGGCAGGTGGTCCGCAGTGCTGGATGCTGAGGGGGTCACGTATGATGATGATTATTGGCCTGAAGGGCACTGGGGACCACTACGGGAGGTATTTCGGGGGACTGCTCCTCTGGGAAGCCTTGTCCACACCCCTTGTCCCTCAGTGCTGTTGACCTACCCTTTTTTTTTTTTTTTTTTTTTTTTTTTTAACCTACCTTCCTTCCTACCATTCCCTAGACACAATCCTCCCCATCCTCCCTTTGGTGAGTTCCCAGGGGTCTGCGCACCCCCTGGACTATCGGAGTTAGCCCACTGGAGTTTGAAGCCTCTGAGTATCTTTGGTCCCCCTTGGGACTCTGAGCAGCTCTGAGTCTGCAGTGGGATAGGGTCTACTATGTGCGTTCTTGCACAGGCAGGGTAGGGGGTGATGATGTGGTGATGACAGTAGTAACAGCAAGGCTAACACACACTCGGTGTGTATTAACAGGTGTGGTGATAACTTCACAAAGCAGGGACTTCTAGCAGGACCAGTTTAGAGATGAGGCAAAGGTCCTGTGGCCGAGTCACAACGCTGGTAAGCAGGCAGGACAGCGAGGCCCCAAACCTTGTCAGTGTGGCTCCCACACCTTTGCCCCCAGCGCTCTAAAAGACGTGGCAGCCCAAATGAGTGTGTTGTGTGGATACACAAATGATGCAAGTTATCTTCAAAATCAATTCGTAAGGACAAAAACTCTAGAAAGTCAGCATCAGCTCAGCAGATTTCAGGTTAAGAATCTGTTTTCTCTCTCCATGTCTTCCTCCACTTTATTGGAAACCCGAGCATACACAGGCCCACTGTGGAGCTTCCCCCAGGAAACAAAACGGACGGGATGGAACTTCCGGTCATCTCATTAGGAAGCCCTGAGGCAGAGACTGCGCCATCAGCCCCAAAACAGGAGAGCAACACCGCCCCCCTCCATGGCCCCAGGTACTACTCTGATCTGTTTTTTACTCTCAGTGTTTCTGACCCTGGATGTGTGGGTCTTCCACACCAAGCAACTCTCCAGTTCTCTGCAGACCCCAATGAGGGTCCTACAATTTAATTTAATCCCGACACTATCTAGAGTTAGCACAGACCCCACAGGCTCAGTTCCGCCAGACTGCCCCCCCCACCTCAGATGCTAATCACCAGTGTGGGGGGGGGACGTCCCAGGTTACCCACATGTCTACCTGACTTGGTTACAAATTGGGGTTCCCCCAACACCCTCCTCAGGTTCTGCTGTAACAGCTCACAGAACTGAGAGAAATACTTTACTTACTATTAGTGGTTTATTATAAAAGATAGAAATGAACAGTCACATGGAGGGATATTCAAGAAGTCCAGAAGGGTCTCGAGCGCAGGAGCTTCTGTTGCCATGGAATTTGGGGTGCACCACCCTCCCAGCGTGTGAATGCGCTCATCAACCTAGAAGCTCTCTGAACTCTGTTTAGGGTTTTACGGAGGCCACACTGCATGGGCATGATTGATTAAATCACTGGCCATCAGGAACTGATGCAATCTCCAGCCCCTCCCCTCTCCCCAGAGGTCAGGGGGATGGGGCTGAAAGTTTCAAGCCTCAAATCACAGGACTGGTTTCCCTGGCAACCAGCCCCCATCCAGAAGCTATCTAGGAGTCCACAGAATCACCTCATTAGCATAAACTCAGGTATGGTTGAAAGGGTCTTATTCTAAAGAACAAAAGAGGCCCCTATCACCCAAACCACTCAGAAAATTCCAAGGGTTTTAGAAGCTCTTGGGGCCAGGAACTGGGGACAGAAGACCAAATAGGTATTTTTTATTCATGCCATAAAAACTTGCACTTTCCTATTTAAGGTCAAAGAACCCAGAGCATGCTCTCTCTTTAAATCTTACAGTCATTATACTCAAACTGGAGGGGGTCCCAGGAGTCCGAGTTCCTGAGAAGCCTGTTCTCTTTGATGTGTGTAAATCAAATGATTCTTCCCCTTCTTTGGGGGGAATAAGGGGATGAATTGTAATTATGTGCTTAAGTTTTAGGTGTGCACACTATTTTATTTCTTTAAAAAAATGTTTTTTAATGTTTATTTAGTTTTGGGAGAGGGAGAGACGAAGTGTGAGCATGGGAGGGGCAGAGAGAGAGGGAGACACAGAATCCGAAGCGGACTCCAGACCCCAAGCTGTCAGCACAGAGCCTGATGCGGGGCTTGAACTCACAAACAGCGAAATCATGACCTGAGCTGAAGTGGGACACTTAACCGACTGAGCCACCCAGGCACCCCAACACACTGTTTTATTTTAAACTAACAATTCCATTTCTAGGAATCTGTCCCTCAGATATTCCCACCAGCGCATGCCAGAAGCCACACAGCCACACTGCCGAAATATGCACGAGGTGGGAGCAGCCTAAAAGCCCAGCGGCAGAGGAGGGGTTAAATGCATTTGGGTACCCCAACTCCAGGGACACAATGCAGCTGTAGTAAACAGTGAGGCAGAGGTAGCGCCAGGTGTCCTGAGTGCAAGATGCCCACATGGCCGGAAGTGAATGGGTACAGCTCGTACTTAGAGGAGTGCTCGCTGTGTACCAGGCTAAGCGCTTTACACACATGAACTCATTTAATCCTCATGAAACCCTTTGAGGGAGAGGCTGTCACCATCCTCATTAAAAAAATTTTTTTTAATGTTTACTTATTTTTGGGGGGGGGGGAGAGTGCAAGTGGGGGAGGGGAAGAGTAAGAGGGAGACACAGAATGTGAAGCAGGCTCCAGGTTCTGAGCTGTCAGCACAGAGCCCAAAGCATGGCTTGAACCCACAAACCACAAGATCATGACCCGAGCTGAAGTCGGACGCTTAACAGACTGAGCCACCCAAGTGCCCCACAGCATCCTCATTCTAAAGCCAATGCAACTGGGGTGCCTGGGTGGCTCAGTCAGTTAAGCATCCTTCGGCTCAGGTCACGATCTCACGGTTCCTGGGTTCCAGCCCCGCGTCAGGCTCTGTGGTGACAGCTCAGAGCCTGGAGCCTGCTTTGGATTCTGTGTCTCCCTCTCTCTCTGCCCCTCCCCTGCTTGCACCTATCTCTCTCTTTCAAAAATAAATAAATGTTAAAAAAAAAATTTTTTTTAAAAGCCAATGCAACTGAGTCCAGAGAGATTGAGTAACCTGCCCAAGTTACTCAGCAGGAAAGCAGTGTCACTGCGATTTGAACCCAGGCAATCTAGCTTCAGAGTTTCTTCTCTATGGTGCACTTGGTGGAGGGAAAGAGGCAAATTGCAGAATAAAACCAAACAAAATAATGGAGCTTAAATAAAAGATTTCATTAGAGAGAGAGAACATAAATGTCTATAAAGGAAAGGGCCTAGGAGGGCACCCACCAAACTGTTAACAGTGCTTACCTCTAAGGAGTAAAACCTGAGTGGAGATAAAAGGACAACTTTAAAAAAAATTCTGCATGTCTGTGCTTGAATTCGTACAAGCCCGTTAGTTCAAGGCCCTCTTCAGGCTCCCCTATGAGGCCCTGCCCCGAATCCACATTCTGGAGAGAGGAGCCCTGTGAATAGGTTTGCATGCTTTCTTCCAGACCCTTCTCTCTGTGTCTACATGGAAATGCTCACAACTGCACAGGGTAGGGGTGTCTCAGGCTTTAAGTTTTCACTTTTGGAAGTGAGCATGTGAGGAGAATCATGGGCAGGGGGAAGCCACGCCCTGAAAAGCCCAGACTGTACAGGACGCAGAGTCAGAACGGATGAGGACGCACCACCTCCACAGGTGAGCCTTGCATCGGCCCCACGCCGACCTTGCCCCTAGGGCTCGTGGAGTCTGAAAACTCCCAGTGGAGATTCCTCCTTGGCCTGGCAAGCTGCTTGTACCCGGACCCACCGAGGGAAGGAAGGGGCACCCCATCTTGTATCCACATGCCCCTCGGTGAAACAGAGGCTGTACTTAAATCCTTAGACTACAATGTCGCCTTCTTTTAGTTTGCTAACTAGTTTGGCTGAAGTGATGTAGGCTGAATGCTTGTATAATTACATGCTTACATAGAGAGATGAATTAAAAAAAAATAAACAGCCTTCATAGTTGCTTTTCTTACTTATTATCAGATCCTGGAGATTTCCTGATATGGCGGCTGTAGCTCAGTGTTTGGAAGCAAAGAATACTCACGTTCAATTCCCAGCTCTGCCACTTAATTACCTAGGCCTTGGGCATGTCACTTAGCCTCCTACATCTCAGTTTTCCCATTTGTAAAATGGAGATAATAATAGGACTTAACTCTTAGGGATGTTATGAGTTAATGAACGTAGAGACTTAGAATATCCCTGGCACACGGGGACATACAAGTATTAGCTGTTAAAATTTTACTTATATAACAATAAAAAGAAAATCTCAGGCAAACAAATCGAACCAAATGTGGCCTTGGCAGGAGCCCTGGTTGCTCTGGGCTCAGGAGCCGGCTGGCCTGGGGTGGCCTGTCTTGAGCAAGAAGCTAGGCAAGCCCCTCCTTCCTGGGAGGCCCACAGCCAGGCCCATGGGAGGCACCCCTTCTGAGTCCCTGTGGGGTCGGGTGGGTTAGGCGAGGGTGTTGCCACCTCTCCCAAAGTGCATGTGGATTAAGCATCTTGTTCCAATTCTGGGCATCGTCCTAGTCACTTCAAGTGAGACTTTGAAATGCAAAGTTAAAAAAGGATGCCCCCTGGAGCATGGGCACGTGCCAGGCCCACCCAGGAGCAGCAGGCCAAGCATGTGCACTGGGCCGATGAGACAGAGCTGCACTGGCTGGAGGATGAGTGAGGGGTCTGGGGTCGGGGAAGCCCCTTCGGGGGAGACTTAAGCAGGGGGACAATCATTGCTCTGAGCGGCCGGGTGTGCCTACCGGGATCTCACTGGCTCTAGCCAGGCCCATTTTTAAGCCGCATGCACTGGTGTACCTGTGACATTTATTTTGATTCTGAAACTTTCTGGTAAACAGCTGCTGCCTGGAGCCCCAAGAGTCCCCACTATCACTGTGTGGGGTGATGCTTTGGGGTCCGCTCCCACGGCTGTTGCTGGTTGGGGTGGTGGTTAAGTGTTTAGTATGTCCCCCAACGGGCTCACTCCTGTGACCAGGCCGAGCCTCCTTTAGAAGAGTGTCTTGTCAGCACGGAGCCTGACTTGTGAACTAATCCCAGCTAATTGCCACCGAAGCCTGCTAAGATCACATCTGTTGGGCTTGGAGATTAAATCAATATTTGACAATCTTGATTAAATACAGCCAGGGAATCCTTGTCAGAGAACATCTGTTAAAGCCCTGTTCTTTCCATTCTGCTCTTAGGGGGCTGACTGGGGGCATCTCAGGCTCTGCTTCTCCTCACCTGAGGAGATTTGGTGGGGGTGTGGGGGGGTGGACAGAAACAGAAAGGCTCCCTGTGGTGGAAGGGGAGGGGAGGGAAGGGGAGGAGAGGGGAGTGAACCTTGCTAGCCAGGGGGGCACCATCTGCCAGCAATAATCACCTTACCTGCCCCCGACCCTGGGGGCTGCTGAGGGCCAGTCCCCAGCCAGCGTGGATGGAATGCTTGCCTCAGAACACTGAACTCGTCTCCTAATGTCCCACTGAGGTAGTGGTCTCGTCACCTCCGTTTCAAAATCAGGAAGCTGAGCTTTGAGAGGAGACAGCGCTTGGCCAAGGTCACAAAGAGAATGAGAGGAGGAACGGGGGTCTGGACCCCCTGGTTCTGCTGACTCCAGGGTCTGCCCTGTGACCTCTCACAGGACCACTCCGCATGAGAGACCAGTCATCAAAAGAAAGAGCAAAAATGGGCACTTGTGCCACCCAGACCCAGACTGGAGGCCTGCTCCAATGTCAGGTTCCCGAAGCTACGGGTTACAATGGCGGCCCCCCTCAGCCCACAGAGCATCCCAGGGGGAGGGCCCTACTGTTTTCCCCAATTTGCAG